CTGACTGCAGTGATGTGTTAACTGACTGCAGTGATGTGTTTACTGACCAGTAATATGTTTACCGACTGCAGTGATGTGTTTACTGACTGCAGTGATGTGTTTACTGACCAGTGATACGTTTACTGATCACAGTGATGTGTTTACTGACCACAGTGATGCTTTTACTGACAACACTGATGTTTTTATTTTACTGACCACAGTCATGTGTTTACTGACCTTAGTAATGTGCTTACTGATCATAGTGATGTATTTACTGACCACAGTAATGCGTTTACTGACTACAGTGATGCGTTTAATGACTATACTGATGTGTTTATTGACTACAGTGGTGTTTACTGACCAGAGTTATGTGTTTACTGGCCACAGTGATGTGTTTACTGGCCAGTGATGTGTTTACTGACAACAGTGATGTGTTTACTTAATACAATGATTCATTTACTGACAACAGTGATGTGTTTACTTAATACAATGATGCATTTACTGACCACAGTGATGTGTTTAAATTTCATTTCAATTCAATTCAGTTTATTTATATAGCGCCAAATCACAACAAAGTTATCTCAGGGTACTTTACAGGAACATTCACATACATAAAAGCCAATTAGTAAATTTCTCTATCTAAGGAATCCAGCAGACAAGTTGAATCTTGGCTTCGTTGCAGTCTCCCATCAGTGTTGCAGTGTTTACTGATCAGTGATGTGTTTACTGACCACTGTGATGCATTTACTGACACTTGTTGACCTTTTTTAATTGTTTGGAATAACTTCTGAAAGTAGAAAGACCTGAAACTTTGATTTAGTTACCTCTTTCATTTTTCCTCTCACGTGCATATTGGTGAAAATACTACATTACCCAAAATGCAAGATGGTCAGAGAGGCAGAATCAGAACTGTTTGCGGATGTTTTCTGTGTACCTGCTGCTTTACTGAACTGTCCGTTAGAGCAGGTCAGATCTGGTCGAACCGGATCTGTGGCCTCGTATTCTCTGACCTCCCCGACACTCACATCATCCTCCACCTCCTCCTCCCTCCCCCAGGAGCCCTGAAGACACATAAGGTCAGAGGTCACCAAGTGTCACTGCAGAAACATGAAGCAGCATCATTGAAATTGTCCACCAGTGGCCTGAAGTCTGAATCCTGAGAAATAAATATATGCTTCATTTTAGAAACTTTTAAATGATGAAATGTCAGGTAATATAAAGAAATGTTTTAAGTTTTAGAGAATCTGAGGGGAAAGTTTCCATTCCTGAGTGGAAAACTCGCCTCAGGCTGCAGCCTCTCTCCTCTGTGAGTGACACCTTGATCCATCTTGGTCAACAGGGTCAGCAGGAGGTCACGACCTCTGACCTCTTCGTAAGCGGGCGGATCAAAGTCCTGGAGGGTGAGACAGACAGAGAAGCCTCTTAAGTTGACTTCAAACACATTTACATGAAGGAACTAAAAATATCTGTTCTTTGTCAGATGGGATCCCTAAAAGTTGGCGACCAGACTCGGTTCCCACAGGAAGGTTCTGTGTTTACTCTGTAAAAGCATTTAAATATGTAGTTTATCAACATTTCTGTGTTTAAACTGAGTCATCTGAAATAAACAAACAAAAAAATGTATGAAGAAATAAAATAAAAGTCAAATTAATATCACAAACAAACAACAAACAGGAAGTGATCAGGACAAAAATGATTAGGAAAGGAAACATTTAGGACAGGGAGAAAGAAGAAAGAAAGTTTTCAAGACAGGAAGTAAAAAAGAATCAGTGATCAGGACAGGAAGTGAGGAAAAACAGAATGTGAGTAGAACAGGAAGTGAGTATGATATAAAACTATCAGAACAGGAAGTGAATAGGACAGAAAATTATTAGGACAGGAAGTGAGAAGAAAGGAAGTAATGACAGGAAATTAAAACAACAGGAAGTGATCATGATAGGAAACTTTTAGAACATGAAGTGATTATTATGACATGAAACAATTAAGGAAGGAAGTGAGAAGAAAGGAAGTGAGCAGAACAGAAAATGAGATGATCAGGACAGGAAGAGAGCAGAAAATGAGCAGGAAAGACAGTGAACAGAACTACGAGTTATCACGACAGGAAGTAAGAAGAAAAGGAAATCATCAGGACAAGAAGTGGTCCGAACCAGCAGTGGTGTAACACGATGTGCTTCCTCACCATTTCCTGCAGCTCCTGCAGGGAGCTGGAGAAACTGCAGACGGCCTCATCCTCTGAGAGACACAGAAACAGAGTCAATAAAACGGCAACAAACATCTGGAATCAGAACGTCTGGAGGATCCAGAATCAGCTGCTTCATTTTAAAGAACAAATATGACAAAATAAATCTCTTAATTTACCATCTTAACAGCCAGGATTCAGAAAAACACAGCTTACAACTTTTCAGGTTGGTGAAAAGAAAACATAAAAATATTTATTATTAATATAAATGAAAATAATCCACACATATAAAATGTATTTAACCCTACAAAATAAAATAAATGTAATAAAACTGCACCGTCTATATTTATGCCTGGTCCTAACATTATGAAGAAAAAAACAGACTGTGGCAGGTCTGAAGAAGTTCTGATCAGAAGTACATGTTAATGAAGACAATGATCATGATGATGAAGATGATGATGGTACCTGTGGGAGGAGCCAAATGGCTCACGCTGATCAGCAGTTCTCCCTCAGAGATGTGCTTCAGAGCTGCTTCGGTCTCTGCCGTCACCGTGGAGCTGCTGGAGCTCAGGTCATCTGAGGAGCTGCAGTGGGATCCAGGTTCAGGTCCAACGGACTCAGGGGGAGGGGGAGGAGGAGGAGGAGGCTGGGGAGAGCAGACAGGAGGCTCCTCCTCGGCTACTGACATGATCCTGTTGGACCAGAAGGAGCAGATTTGTTTTTAATACTCTCTCCCACAGTGACTGATGTGTGTCTGTGGACGTACAGAGGCTGTGTTTCTGGATCCAGGTGCTCCTCTGGTCTCTCCTCCTCCAAGGGAAGCTCAGCATCTTCCAAGGTGAGAGGGGGCGGAGTCTGATGAGCAGTGGGCGGGCTTCTCTCTAAGATATGGGGCTCTGGGGTGGAGGCTGGTGTAGCTACAGGCTCTGAAGTAACACAGACAGAAAGGATTAGAATCAGACTGACTTTAGATCAGAACGAGTATTAATGAGATTAAAATCAGATTATAATCTGAGATTCAGCAGCAGGTAAACACTTGACAACAACTGATCATTTAAAGGAGGGGTTTTAATATTTTACTGGAGCTGTGATTGGCTCAGGAGGCTACGGACCTGGAGCTGTGGGTGGCTCAGGAGGGTGCGTGCTCAGCGGGGTGGATGGTGGTGATGGAGGTGGAGTGGTTACTGGTGTGGTCTCCCTGCTGTTCTGGGTCTCACTGGGCTGCGGTGTTGGTACTGGTGTGAGGACCACTGGACCCAGTTTCTGCTGGAGGAGAACTCAATCTGTAAAACACACAGGGAGGAACTGGAAGCTAACACACAGTGAGGACGGGTTCTGTACCTCCTCACTGGTTCCAAGTCCTGGTTCTGGTGTTTCCGGTACTGTTTGTTGTCCAGCATCTGAAACGTTTCTCTGACCCAAAATCTGGGCCACAGTCTCAGTCAGAACCTCATTTACCAGGTGCCTGATTAGTTCTGAATCCACAGGAACATTAGCATCCACAAAGAGCTGCAGTCCTGCACCTCCTGCTGCCTCCACTGCACATAGGGAGGAGAAAAGAGGAGGTGTTAGAGGAGGAGGAGATGGACAGAAGGTGATAGAAGTGACAGTCTGGTCTTTTCACCTATGTCTGAGGTGAGGCTCCGCTCCTCAAGTCCTGATTGGTCAGTTTTCTGATTGTGGGCGGGGTCAGACAGAGGAGGCTGGTAGAGCTCAGAGATCATCCTGGACATGAGTTGCTGCTCCACCCTGAACATACAGAACTCTATCAGAACCAAGCAGGACCAACAGGGTCTGTCCGATTCAGAGCGGGCTCTCACCATTCCACCAGACGGTTCTCCAGGACCTCCTGCTGCTGGCTGCTGCCCAGAACAGGAATCGGGTCATGGTCATGGTGGGAGGAGAGGGCTTCTGGAGGAAAGACTGGACCTTGGTACAGAACCGGAGCAGGAGATGGACCTCCATCCAACACCACAGCTTCCTCCCCAGCATCGCTCACCTCCTGCTGTGGAGCAGAGCAGAAGGTTCTACTCACAAATCATCTCCCTGCCGTTCCAGGGTTTCTCTAATCCAGCGGATGAGAACAGGCTCCAGATCCCTTCAGTTCTGTCTGCGTCCTGCAGGGGGAGCTGCAGACTAAAAATAGTCTCACCTGAAGGACATCAGGGACAAACTGACAGTCTGGGCCAGGGATGCTCTCCTCTTCATCTCTCTGGGAATCTACCTCCAGGATGTCCATGATGATTGATGGAGGAGTCGTTCCTGTTTCAGGCAGCTGCTGTCAACACACACACAAAAAAAAACTCCACCAGTTTGACCTTTGACCTCTGTTCTTGTTTATCATTTAGTTTAGAACCCATCTGGAACTGATTTTAAGAGTTAAATTCCCCCGTCTTCCCCAGGTTCTGGTTTCTGAAGAGGCTCTACAGAACCAAAACTGACTCATAACTCTTGTACCTGACTAGGTTGGGATCAATCAGGCAGCAGGGAACTTTAACCAGAACCAAACCGTAATGGCTGGTCAGAACATCCCGGTCTGCAGAGGCCAGAACCTGCTGAAACTGGTCAAAGGGAGGAGAAGTGTAGAATCAGTGACAGGATGATGGGTACTGAACTGTGTTGTTCTGATCCAGTAGAAAAACTGAGGTGGCTCCAGGTGCTGAAAAGGTTCGAGCAGGTTCTGGTAGAACGATGTCAGAACCCAGAGAGCAACAGTTTGTTGTGTTTGGGTCTGTGTAGCTACAGATGAGTCAGGGAGTCCATCCTGACCTGCAGAAGTCCAGGAGGAGATGGGTCAGGGGGTTTGCTGGGAAAAGATGACCTATTCAACAAAGAGCAGGAGGTCATAAGGTTCTGATCCATGCAGACCAGGAACATCCCACAGACTGAAGGTGTGGAGATGCTCTGACCCATTTATCTCACTACCACAGGTTGGTTCTGTGTAATAATTCCAGCTTGACGAACAGAATGTTTACGAGCTGCCTTAAATGTGCCTCCCCTCCGGCTGGTCCCACTCTTCTTCAGCTCACGGGTCAGAGGTCAGAGGTCAGGGGTCAGCATATTATTAACTGCTACATACTAATAATAACAGTCGTTCCTCTGATTTACCAGAGTCTTACTGGTCCGACCCATTACCATGTTGACCACAGGACCAGAGAACACCGGCTGGTGTTTGGCGACATGAGCAGCAGCAGGTGACAGAAATACGTCTCACCTGTTCCTCAGGCGCTTCCTCGTTCTTGTTCTCCACAGTTGATGCAAGCGGAACAGGAAGTCCTGAAGTCACTTCCTGTGGGCGCTCACGCCTGGATGAAGAGTCCAACCTGGGACGACCTGAAGAAGGAAATGAAATGAAACAGATGTATGACTGACAGGTAAGTGGTGTAGGTGACTGTGGATAAAAGGCTCACAGAGAACCAGGATTTATAAATTGTTCTGAAAGGAATACGTTTAGATTTTATCTAAAAACAGTAAAGGAAGCAGTAAATATTATTTTAAGGATTTTCCTCATAACTTATTATTTCACTTGCTGTACGTCATGACTTCAGGTTTAGTCAGTTCATTTTAGACCAATTTATTTGATAAAAAATAATCCAGATTAAGACAATCTGAGTAATAATTGAGCTCTGAGAGTAGTTCATTTACTGACCCAGTGGGATTGCCATGGCAGCAGGGAGACTGTCTGCAGAGGTCATAGCAAGATGAGCAAGGTCATGTGAGGATAGGTGTGACCTGGTGAGGGGCGGGGCCAGAGTGAGGGGAGGGGCCAAACTGGTCTGAGTCTTACAGGACTTCATGGTCACACCTGAGAGCAAAAACAAATCAGTGTCAGGGAGGGCTGAACATCTGAAACATCACGATTTAAAAATGGGATTTTTTTTTTTTTTTACCTTTAATGCTCTCGACCAGCCGGGGGCGGGGCTTTCGGCTGAGGGGTGAAGCGGGAGAGCTGAAGCGAGGGTAGGCACTCCTCTTCAAGGTTCGTCTCAGACCTTCATGTGGGAGTTTACCGTACAGATGAGTCAGGTGTGTTTCTCTGTCCTCCTGCTGCTGCTGGCTGTCCATCAGTTTACCTGGGAGCCTTGAAGGCTCCGCCCCCTGCAGCAGAGACAGCATCAGTGACAAAGTGCTCACCTGTACTTGACTTACCTTAAACATTACTGACCACTTGGCGTCCAGCTCCTTGCCCCCTGCTTCTCACTGCAGCCCTACTTCCTGTTGGTCTGAGCATGCTCACTGGCTTCCCTCTACCTGCAGCCTTCACCTGTGATGCTGCAGCCTTTGGAGGAGGACTAGGAGGAACTTGAGACTGAGAAAAAAGAAAATTTATCAGATAAAACAACACACTTCCCTGATTTTTGTACCAGTCTGGACATTCAGCTGATTCAGAATACAGAATTTACCTGGATTTCTTTGGTTAAGGTGTCGATCCAGGAGTCTACGGTCTTCTTGATCCGAACTTCCTCAGCCATATCCCTGCAGAGAACACAAACTCAGTTTCCTGTTTGACTCTGGAAAACAAACTGTAGTTATCTTGGTCCTTTGGGACACTTTGTAGCACTGCAGGGGTCATCAACAAAAAAACGATATACGGTATCTGTGTGTGCTTAACATCTGTCACCAATCAGCTGTTAGATCATAGCATTAGCTTGCAATCAGCTGTTAGATCATAGCATTAGCTAGCAATCAGCTGTTAGA